TTTACTGGATGTTTGCAATCCAGAAAGGCCGGTACAAAACCCACGTACAGAACTCCCGCAGGATTCAGTATGGGATTTTCGTGGCGCTCAGACGTTTGATGGTCCAAGCGCACAATTCCATGTTTTCACAGTGGATCAAACCGGGAATGGTATTCGGGATCCATCCCGTTTTTTTGGAAGTAGTCATATGTGTCATATATTTGAGTCTAGTGAGTCTAACGCAGCGTTTGAAGTTTATTTAGCGTATGGTCGGACGAGTCAACCAAACGGGTTAGAGAAGTACTCGTAGTACCGGTACAACACATAAAATAAAAATAATGTTTGCGCGGATGTCGTGTCTTTGATATCCCACGAAATCTGGAAATTTCTTTGAGCCTTCAAATTTTTAACCCGCAAGATGGCAAGCTTTGAGTTGCAAATCGATGAGCTAGAAAGCTTGAATGAAGCTTCAGACTTCCCTTCAAACAAAGGTAATCCTGTATGTCATCAATTGAAGTTGGCTGTACATCGTGTGATGGTGTTGGGGAAACAGTGGTGACACCAGATGCTGGGAAGATACCAACTGTTGACACGAGATTTTTCAATACAGGAGATGGACATGAAGGAGCGCGCCCCAGCACCCCAAGTGACACCAAGTGAAGAAACAGCTCAACCTAGTGCTAGCTTCAAAAACTACATTGATGATGACATTGAAGGAGGGATGAGCACATCAGCTGATACAAGCAAAGCTCGAATGGCAAGTTTTGCTGAAGCATTCCTGAAATCATTGCCATGGAGACCAGTCAAAACTGCTGGTAGGAAAAGAAAACCACATCCTTTCGAGTCTCATTTAGTCAACGAATACCAAGAGCAGTCTCTACAAGAGACGATGTGTCGCACATACCCGAATCTAAAGAACCAATTTTACATGAAGGGGATTGGATACTACCCACTTTGTATACGCCTATTCCTTTGTGCACTTGGTTATTTGTTGTGTGGTCTCCCATCTGATTACAATGTGGATCCATGGGAACTTCTTGCAACAGCTTTTTGCAAAGATTGCTCTAGCAAGGAAATGAAGGATGCTTGCACTCGGGCAATTGTCAGGAGAATCTACGGAGAGTCGTCATATAGTTCACAAGAAATTGGCTAGAATATTGAGATTCATGCCAAACAAGAAGCAGCGAAATGAAGTGTTCACAAACCGCCTTCAGGTATAAGGTGAAGGCAGAACTGATTGCAAAAACCACCAAGAAGAAGAGAGGAAAGTACAATGTCAAGCCAAAGGACAATGTTTTGCCCATTTCGCTGCCTGAGCTGGTCATGGATGGCGCGAACATTCACATCAACAAAAGTATGTCAATCAAACCAGGTTTGCTTGAAGTCTACAATATGGTTGTCTGTGGCATTGTTCCAAGCTCCTGGGAAAAAATATTTAGGGACAGAGACGATATCGATGACACCCAAAAAATAAAGGCTGGGTATTCTTCCCAACTAGATAGATAAAATATTTAGTCTAGTATGTTATTGCTGACTGCTAATTCGTGCTACTCATTTCATGCTTTGAGGAGCAAAAGAAGCAAACCACTTTTAAGAATCCATGAGACAACATTTGCGTCCTCATCGTCGTTGCTACCACACACCACTCGATTGGTTGGCGACATCTACAGTTTGACGCTCCGTCCATTTGTAGCTTTTTGGAGAGAACGTGACACACTTGGCAATTGCAGGCTGACCAAGGCTGAACTACCGGCCGTAGAAGGGATCAGGGCATCACCTACCAATAAGAAAGGCACTGGCAGAAAGTTGACTTGGAACGGTAATTGGATTGCCAGCTTTGCCCTCGTTTGCCGTATCCTCGCTCAGATGATGCAAGCTTCATTTTCAAAATTATCTTACCACCGCTTCCAAATGCATTGTATGGCGCTCTGAAGCCTTGAAAGGGAGTCCATCCGGTTTTATTTGGTAATGCCCGATGTAAATTTAGTCAGTCTACTAGCTCATGATGTTAGGCTGTTCTGATTTGATCGTAACCTCGTGATCTGGTCAATTGCAATCGCGTTGCTTGATCACAAAGATGAGCACAGGCATACTTGCATCATCATTCCAATCCCTGCATGGGGCATCAGAGGCTAGATAGATTTGGCATTGTCAGAACTTGAGAGTATCGACAGCATTCACATCTTCCTCTATTCTTTGGCTAGAGGCTTGATCGTGACTTATGAGGGCCGACCCCTGCCCAATCCTTCTGTCTTCATATTGAAATTGTCGCGCTTCAGTGGGTTATAATAGTACTGGTACCCGTACACGGTACCGGTGACTGACTCAACTGAACTCTATTCCTGAATGAACCACCGTCCAATAAAACAAGCACAAATTTTTCAAAACATACATACATTACATACATTGCGTTCATGCAAGTATACGACTCGTGCGACTACTAAAAAAACGGGATGGCTGCATATTGACACTATGTTAGCTCCTATACGATTCCCGTTTTTGGCCCATATGATCCACTGTGTCGAACGAAACGGTTGCATGATCGACTACTGCGACTAAAATCCATCGCAAAACAAACGAGTATATTCTCTAACGAAATACCTGTATAGGTACTGCCGTGCACCTTCCACCTGGTGTAATATATATGTCAATGTAGAATATAGAAAAAGTGTAAATATTGATGCACGCAAGTGGTGCTT